ACCCATCCTCTCTTCACCCAACAAACGTTCTCTCGATGCTACCTTCCCGAACTACCGCCTCCTATCCCCTAGCCTTCACCCCCAGAATACCACCACAATGCCCTACCACACTCCCCAACACTTTCGGAAACAGTCCCAACCAATTCCCAACCCCACCGCAACCTGTTCCCCTCACCTACCAACGCCATGAAATCTGCAACCCATCACCCTATACCGGGGCTGATCCACCGCACACCCGCTACCAGGAATCAGTCTAACGCCGTGTTGCCTAACAAATCCGGAGCTCTACTACACCCACACCTTTCTCCGACCCCCCCCACCCCCCCCCCCCCCCTCCCGCGGCATCCACCACCTAAACCAATTCGGCCCCGAACCCACCTCCCACAAGCCACACCGAACCTACTGGGGCGCCCTCAGACGTCGTTCGCGCCTCAACTCCCGGATCCCTACAGCCGTGCGAGGCCAACCCAGACCCAATTCTCCCAAGCTGACCGACACACCCTCCCACCTCACCCAAGGGTAACGAAGGACAGCTTCACCACCTTGTGATCGCTGCCGGTATGTTGTCTAACACGCTGGCGCACGCGTGCGAGATGCCGTTAGTGAATATAAGGTCCAGTGTGTTCGATTGTCTAGTCGGTGCAATCACATGCTGTGTCCATTCATGAGTGGAAATAGTGTCAACAAGGGCCCTATACTTAGGTGGGGCCGACTGTCCGAGCCACGAAACATGAGGTGTATCCCACGACGGTCGAAAAACTAATATAAATCGTTCCAGTACCTCAACTGCTGCTTGGGACGGCCGTCAAGCGTTTCCCAAGCTGTCTCTGCAATCACACTTCCTAGCTGGATCTGCTACCCACTGTCTTGTGGGTCAGGCTATTCAGCCAAAGGCTACGGGTGAAGTCTTTCAAGCAAACCTTTGAAGCACAACGACCATCTCGGGTGCGATTGCCCACCAATGTAATCGTATGCCTGCATGCAAAGCACTCAGCATCGGGTGCTAGAACTACGCACACTACTTGACCGAAACGCCAGCGAGCGCCCGGAGCGACGCACTGTACTGCTCGCGCTGGAACTAGCCCGCTACCACATCACTTTTGCGGCATTCAGTAAAACCCGGCTTGCTGAGCAAGGTAAGTTGCATGGAGCATGGGCTAACTAAACGTTCTACTGCGTACGCAACGATGTCTCACCACCACGCAATATCCGAACTCATCTACGGCCAGCTGGTGGGTGAACCAACATGTATCAGCGCCAGACTGATGAATGTTCGCCTGCGACTCGGGAGAGGTAAGTTTGTCATCTTGATGTGCACGTACGGTCCAACCATGGGTTATCCTGCGGACACGAGTAATCCATTCTACCCTCAGCTATCCTCTTTGATATAGTCTGTGCCTAGAAGCGACCGACTAGTTCTGCTGGGTGAGTTCAACGCGCGCATTTGGCGTGATGTGTCGGTGTGGACGAATGTTATCGGTCCGCATGGCATTAGTTCAGCTAAGGCGAACGCTGGCAGGCTGTTCTCATGGTGTGTCATTCACGGCCCGGTTATCAAGAACACTCGTATTGCACTGACTGCGATTGATATAGCAACTTGGACGCGCCCACGGAGTAACCACGCTCACCTGCTCAATTATGTCATCCTACGTCAGCGTGATATGCGTGAAGTGCGCATGACACGTGTACTGCGTAGAGCTGAGCGTGGCACTGACCACAAATTGGTGCGCAACAAACTGTACATGTGAGTTCGTAAATCTGTGTGTTACACTCCCGCCGTGAATAGGCGTAAATTTAACATTTTGTCTCGGTACTGTGGTGAAAGGTATTGAGCTGGAGAAGGCGATGGCTGCACGCCTGTGTGATGTGGACTGCACAGCCAACGTGGGCGACCTGTGGCACCACCTTCGCGACCAGGTGACAGCTGCTGCCAAGGAGACCATCGGGCTCATAAACTGCAAGCGGTCTGATTAGTTTCATGACAACAATGCGATGATTGGCGCATTGTAGTGTGAGAAGAGTGCAGCATTTGCTGCACATGTTGCAGACTCCAGTGACTTAGGGAAGAGTAGTCATTTTCGTAAACTTTGACAGTGACTGACCCGAGAGCACCGTCGCTTTAAAATGCATGGTGGACGGAGAAGGCGAAGCAGATGGAAGGCTACGCCGAAAGCAGTCAACACAAGGAATCCTTTGACCCCTTGAAGGCAGTGTATGGAACGAGATTGGAGACGCCGAGGACGTTGATCGATGGTAGCTCATGCGCTACCTGCATACTGACTGCAGACGTAATGCAGTTCTGGCGAATACACCTTGCAAATCTCTTGAACAACCGTCCAGGGATCAATCAGCCTATACTTAACGGCATCACGCGGCACAACGTGCAGGCGCGTTTGGCAGACACGCCGGCACTGGATGAGGCCCAAAGAGCACTGCTCAGCTGCGCAACGGCAAGTGTGCCGGAGCCGACAGGATCCTGCCTGAAGTATTGAAACGGCGGATCCGCTTTGAGGACTGCGCTGCACCACTTGGTCCAACACATATAAATAAATAAATAAATAATTGAATAAATAAACCTTTATTCTGGCTATGCGATGCATGCCCGCGAGGGCGTAACCAATAGGTGCAATCATAGAGACATGTCATGGCAGTCGTAACTGTGACACTCGGAGAGTGCTCAGACGTTCCTATTTGTTACTGCACAAATAAGACAAAGTATAAATGAGGAAAGCCCATTGTCTTGAGCTCGGGCACTTTCGTATAGGCACAGTCGTTCTGCCATAAAGTGCAGTAACAATGCAGGCAGGAGTAGATCAAGAGCCAGAAATGATCAAGTAGAATAGAGACGGTGTACGACGCGCTCAGTCGTGATTAGCCTGTACGCTGGGATCAAGTGAGTGTAGCGTGAGGAACAAAGGTAAATGCGCAGAAAAAGACGTGGCGGCTTAAGATGCAGGTAAGAGAGTGCCGGGGCGTATCAAGCATGGTAGTACATAGTCCTGGGCCGCTTGTCATTGTGCACATATTGGCTGTTCCCAGTGATGCATTGAGGAGGAGCTGCCTCCTGCGCTGTTGGGTGCCCTTGTGCTACCACTGTACACGAGCAAAGTGAGCAAGCAATGTTGCACAAATTATATTAGCATCAACTTGCTGAGTTGTGTGGGCAAGGTGTTTGCCCGAATCCTGCTCAACCGCCTCGTCAGTCCGCATGTGGAACCGAACGTGGCGGAAGAGCAATGTGGATTCCGTTCGGATCGCAGCACTGTAGTATGGTGTTGCGGCTCGTCAGTTGCAGGAGAAGTACAGAGAACGCCACCAGCCATTATACTTGCTTTTTGTTGATTTCACCAAGGCATTCGATAAGATGAACCGCGAGGCATTGTGGCTGGTGTTGGGTAAGTTTAGTTGTCCGAGTAAATTCGTAAGTTTAAATTGAATGTCTGCACCGTAGTATGCGAGCGAGGGTGCAGCTGAGTAGAGAGACCTCGGATGACTTGCAGTTGTCACTCGTGTGAAGCAAGGCTGTGGCTTGGCTCCTGCCCTGTTTTATATATATCTTCATGCAATGTTGTCT